TCCAAATGTCCTTCGTCCCTAGTATTGCCTCAAGTTAGACATATTCTCCCTCCTCACCAAGTAGACATGGGTTGTAGTAATGGGGCTGAATCTATTGTCCATTCCTTGAAGCTTATCTTGGCCAATCAGTCTATCCCCTCTAATTCTAAGGGTTGTTTGTTGCTGGATTTCTCCAATGCCTGTAACTGTATTAATAGACTTTCTATGTTTTCTGAGGTACGTTTTAAGATTCCCCTCCTCTCTAACTGGGTCGAATGCTGCTATTGGGCCCAGCCCAATTTATTCTTTGGAGATTATATAATCCCTAGCTGCTGTGGTGTCCAGCAAGGGGATCTCTTGGGTCACCTGCTTTTCTCTTTAGTTTTGCAGCCTATTGTCGAGAGGTTAGAGAGTGAGGTTCCTGGTCTTGTTCTCAACAGCTGGTATTTGGATGATGGGGTCCTTTGTGGATCCTCTGATGACCTTTTAGCAGCTCTTACTATCATTGAAGACTAGGGTCCCTATGGCAAGCCAAATGTTTCAAAATTATATCCCTGCGCTATGACGTCGTCTCGACGTGTATTTTTACGTCGACACGACGTAAGCTACGACACTACGTCCTAATGACGTGTTTTATGTCGACTTATATGGCAAGTAGGACCAGCGTACTTATTGGGTACTATCGATAGTCATGATGACTAATTAGTAGTAAGTCGTGATGACCAATTGAGTCGTGGTGACTTTTAAAAACATTCCGAATAATGGGTGGATCTCTTACGTACACGTGATCTAGTGGGTGGAGCCAAAGATTTACTACCCCACCTTAAGCCTCGCCTTAAGCACCTTTTGAGTTTTGTCATGGCAGATGATTGGGAGACTTATTTCAGTAATATCTATCTTTTTTTGACTGAAAGTCAACGCCAGTACGGTATTTGTAATGCAGAGTACGCTGATTACACATTGGAGCAGTTGGAATACATTGAAAGTACTTGCCGAGTTCTTATACGAACGATATCTACTATATCTTCATTGCATACTCTCCTGTCTATTTTATTGAGTTGTATCACAACATTAAGGTCTCATTGGGAACAATATTCCGATGCATTTAGTTCTCAGCAGCAGAGAAGCATACCTTGCCCTAGAACTTTCACTGGATTACCTGGACGTCCTCGTTTTGAAGTTACAAAAGAAGAGGTAGAGTATTTACGCTCGTCATTTGGATGGAATGATATAGCTTCCTTAATCGGAATATCAAGAATTACTTTATATAGGTAAAAATTATTATTGCTACGTATACTTATTTATTGTTTAATCATAGACGAAGGGTGGAGCTAGGTTTAATTGTGGAACCCTCAACAGTCATTAGTGATGCTGACCTTATTGGTTTTATTCGTGATATGCAAGCCACTTCGCCACATATTGGACAGACACTGGTCATGGGAAGGCTGAGGTCCATGGGGTTTAAAGTGACAAGAGAGAGAGTCCGTAATGCTCTTCGACACAGTAATCCCTTTCGCAGTGCCTTAAGATGGCCTGGAGTTTTAACACATCGACGTCCTTACTCTGTCCCTGGGCCAAATTCTTTATGGCACATAGGTATGTTTATTTGTATTTCATTTTAAGGCAAGTGTATAATTGAATGAAACAAAATATTTGTGGGCATGCATTTTGTACATAAATGCAAAGTTCATTAATTTTCATTGTGCATGCACAAAAAACTAAATAATGGTGTCTGCTTTTAATATTAAATATTGATTAGCATCCTGACAATTGCATATCATTATATTATAATCTTGAATTATATAGATGGTCATCATAAACTGATTCGCTGGCGATTTGTGACACATGCAGGTATTGATGGGTACAGCAGATTAATAGTGTACATCAAATGTTCGACTAATAATAGTGCAAATACAGTACTACAAGAGTTTACTAAAGCTGTTTGCAAATACCACTTACCTTCTCGAGTAAGATCAGATCAGGGTACAGAGAACTTACTTGTTGCCCAGTACATGCTCGAAAATCGGGGTGCAAACAGAGGTAGCATCATAACAGGACCATCAGTACATAATCAAAGAATTGAGAGGCTCTGGAGAGATGTCTTTAGCGGAGTGATTAAAGTCTTTTACAGACTATTTTATTTCATGGAAGAGCAGCTTTTATTAGACCCGAATAATGAACAACACTTATATGCATTGCACTACATCTATGTGCCACGGATTAACAGAGCTCTTGATGAATTTAAGGAATCTTGGAATCACCATCAAATCCGGACAGCCCATCATAAATCACCACATCAACTCTTTGTTTCTGGACTGATTCTAATGCGACATTCTGACAGGGTACCTAGTGACTTTTTTGATGAGGTTGATGAGCTGTATGGTGTTGATGATGAGGGACCGGAGCCAATAGGAAATGAGGGAAATATCAACATACCAAGGGTCAACTTTCAATTATCTCCTGAAAATATGGAGTCCCTGCACTTGCTTATCGACCCTTGTCAAGTTTCTGACAACTACGGTATTGATCTGTATGAACAAACTATTGCCTTTATACAACAAAATGTTCAATAATTATTATCGTAAAACCAAGATATTGAATTTAAATTGATTATAAGAAAGTTTAAATG